CAATACTGTCTTTGATCATGACTTTATAAGCAAGTATCTCCTACTGGACGTTAAGCTCCTCGAGGGCAGGGATGCTGTAAGCTCTCTCCAGGGCTAAGTACACAGAACCTGAGGCACACTCAGTGCTGGCTGCAAAAATGAATGACACCCCCAGAACAGGGGCAGGCCACAGAAACATGTGAACCTCTAAATAGCATGGAGTCAAGTCAAAAACAGGAGCAAGCCGTTCTGGGTGTGCTCACTTCTAATCCACCAGTACTGGAGCCAAGCTGTGGGAAATCCTACCTCATGGGAAACCTCACACCAGCAAATCCCAGAACCAACCCGAGTCACCGCCTGGGTCTGGGGTCTCCGCATGCACATCCCAGAGCGAGGAATCACCACTTAAGTGAGAACGAGGAGTGACAAGGAGACAGCAAGTCGTAGATGCTTTGGGACCAATTCCCACAAGGGATGGGGCTGCATAGGGTGGGGACGGAGACGTCAGAGTGACCCTAGGATGCAGAGGGGCTCGGATGCCTGCCCCGCTCGCTGCCACAATCCTGCACTCCACGTTCTCATTCTAGAAGGAGCAGCTTTGCAAAGCATCTCAGGTGGTCACTCTTCCACTTGACCACGTCTTTTCCCAAACCCACCTCTGAGAATGCAGGGCATAGCCGGATCAGTCTCATTAGTTAATGAGTTAGGTTATTGTTTGTTAATTTAAACTTATTGTTATCATCAGGTATATCTCATAAACACTTGATTAGTTAACGCATTCAAATCGAAATAAAAACTTCAATTAAACTGAACATTCACTACTACCATTTAGGGTCTTAAAAAAAAGAAAAAAAAAAGAGCAAGAGAGAGAGGAAGAGAAAGAAAGAATTGTCTCCAAGAAGGGCCTCCTCCAGGGCAAACTTCTAATTAAACAAATTGTCAATTTCAACACAATGAAAACTGATTTAGGAGCGTAAATTTAGTATTCGAGTCACTGAAAATAAAACCTCACATCGTCAGCCTCGTACAGGCCGATTTCCTTGGACAGGGAAATGCAGAGGACAGGAAGACAACGTGAGAAAGGGGGCCGAGCCCAGAAGGAAGGACGAGCAAGAGCGTTTCACCCGTTCCCAAACAACATCTCCGCAAATTCAGCGTGGCCTGTTCTCAAGCACCGAGAGACTCCTGTCTTGCCTCCTCCTTCACCCCACCCCTACCAGAGGAGAAAAAAAAAAGAAATTAATCGTGTATGATGACAAACTTGGCTCAGCAGTCACTGTACACACTGTACCCACAAGGCTGGCTCCCTGCCAGGCCTGGCCCCGAGCCAGAACTACAATAACAAACACAGGCCACGCCAGCCAAGAGGGGGTGGGGGCAGCCAGCTCGCCGAGCAAGGAAGTGAGCGGGGAGCACCCGTTCAGCTCCTCCGAGCAGTAGAAAACAGAAGGAACGTACCTGCCCGAGGGCAGCAACAACACTTCGGGGAAGCCAGGGGCATCGCGACCCACACCCAGATCCCAGGCTCACTCCTCCAGGGCCTGCCCCTTTAAAAAAAAAAAAAAAGGGTCCCCAGGGTTCTGGAACACCGATTATTCTGTTAGGGCTCTACAGGGCAGTTCCAACCCTGGGCGACGGTCTGTAAAGTGGGTCAGCACTGCACACCCTCAGGGGCCGTGCTTGCTGTCGGCTCCCACCAGGGAGCCTTCCAAACCCAGCGGCAAGAAAATCTCGCGTCATCTCACCGAGGTCGCCTCTGAAACATCCCAGGGTTCTGTTATCGTGCCCCTGGGAGAGGAGTCAGAATGTGCAGAACCCTGCTTCTGCCTTGGCATCCGAGAGAAGGCCTGGCATGGCCGGCCCAGCCCTCCAACCCCGACCCCCCGGGGGCCGTCACTGCTTCTCAGGGGGTGCGAACAGCTCAGGAAGTGGTCTAGCCTCTCTAAGCCCTTGTTGCTACTTTCTTTTCAAGACATCCCAGCACGGGGGTGAGAGGTATGCGGGAAGACAGAAAGCAGCCGGACAGAACCGAAACATCCGAGTCTAAGAAGGCTATGAGCGACCTGCAAAGGTGAATTAAAGCACGATTATGACCCTCACACCTCCCCCGTCACCAAATCCTCTTTTCCAAGGGCCTTGGCAAGTGCGTTTCAGAGAGGCAAGTCACTCGGCACAATCAGATGTCAGTATCGAGTAAGAGAGGTATGGAGAAGAGCGCCTAGGGAGACAGGACCCAGCTCCCCAAACTGCCGGGGCATCAGACTGAGACCACAGGACCCCGCAGTGGCATCTCAGCCAGGACGGGAGTGCACGTCCTCAGGCAGCAGCTGGCTCCAGAGGGGGGGTGCAAAGCCACTCACCTGGTCTGAACTGGGGGCTCTGGGCCCCCCCGCACATGTGCAAGTGATGCCGCCCCCCTCTGCCGCTCTCACTGGCGCCCCCCCCCCCCCGTGGCTGAGATTGGCTCACCCACAGCCAATACTGGCCGGGGGGGCGGGCGGGGGCTCCTGGCTGCCCCCCAGTGAACCCCTGGGAAACAGTCTACACCATTCCTATTGCAGGAGGGACCCAGCGGGAGACTGGAGCTCCCCTGACACGCTCCCCCAGCTGCGCTTGTTCATCCGACTCCAGCAATGTGCCCAGCAATGTGCTGCACGTAACGGGGACAGACCCTGGCCCTACTGGCTTACAGTCTATCAGGGGAACAAAGCGAGAAGGAAATTCTATTTACGGAGAGCCAATCACGTGCCAGGCCCAGGGCTAAGGTCTGATGTGAGCCTCACAATGTCTCTGAGGGAGGGTTAAGTGCTGCCATCTTACAGATGAGGATACAGAAGAGCTTATGTTTCTTGCCCAAGACCACGTACATGGTCAGGAGGTAGGTTTCCCAATTTCTATCCCTGACTCCAAGTAGGGGAGATGGGGCACGTCCATAAATAACCAGAGCACAAAGAGGAAAGACTGTGCCCAGAGAGCTTCAGATAAAGACATACGGACACCCAGAAGAAGGCATGACAGCTCCCGGCTGAAGGTGGGGAAGGATGAAGGATGGCATTGCATAAGGGCCCTTAGACAATCTGGCAAGACTAGGGAAGCGTTATTCCAAGCAGAGGGACTAGGCTGAACAAAGCCACAGAGCTCGGAAAGCAAGCTGTGGCCGTCTACACAGAGCACAAACCAACAAGTAGCTGAGTCTGGCTAGAGCGCTGGACTCAAGGAACAAGTAAGGAGAAAGGATGCTCACTGGTCCAAGTTCCGGCGTGGGCCCTTGCTTTAACCACAGGCTGAGAAGTGCATTACCCGCATGGAAGTGTCCAGCACCACAGTGAGAGGCCACACAGGGGCCCGCAGCAGGGAATACATAAAACGCAAGACCCCCTCTCTGCACTTGGGGGGTGGCCAAGCTGGCTGGCAGTCAGCTCTGAAACCCCACACTGAACCCCAAATGACCTACTATACTGAAGGGAGGCAAAAAGATACAAGGTGCATGTTCTTTATAAAAATTGAACAAAAGGAGTCCATGAGTACCAAGCAGATTCCGGACACAGGGGGTTCTGGACTCAGGACTCCAGGCCAACGTGGGAGAGGTGGGTAGGATGAGGATGGTGTAGGGGAACAAGGTGTGGGAGTGGGTGACCCCCCAGGGAGGAGGAACGGAACAAAGGTGTGGGGACCGATTATACATGCTGAGACAGACAGCCACCTCACAGGGCACAATCCTCAGACCTGGAAGGGAGAAGGATGGAAAGCAAGAAGAGGTTTGGGAACTTTAGGAGGCACCCTGAAGGCCAGGGAGAGAGCATCCCACGCCGTGCAGAGTCACACAGGCTTTGCAGCAAGACTGTGGTGGGCTGAAGCATGAAAAGCGGCAAACAGCACTTGCAAGACTGTCTGGGCAGTGCGACGGCAGATGGCAAACAGCCAGCCAGATAGAAGCTTCTGGAGTAAAGTGATGGGAACATGCCTCAGGGTCACAGTTGCGGAACTGGGGAAGAGGAAGGTGAAGCAAAGGCAGTCAACATTTCCTGACCACCACCTGTATGCCAGGGTGTGTATGCAGAGGCCTGTGACATACATTCTGTCACCGGATTCTTTAGAAAACTGATATGGGCTAGCTAGGCAACACCTGTTCCTCACTGATGCAGAAAACGGGGTTTGGGTGACAGATCAGCCAAGTGTCAGATACAGACAAGGTTTGAACACCTGCCCAGCCCCAAAGCCCACGCGCATTCCACAGATGCTGTAGGGCTAGGCGTGGGAGGCCACGCGGACCAGGACAGCGGAGGTCAACACGTGACCATAAGGAGATGGCCCTCACCGCTCCCTCAAAATAGGACTCCAAGGCTGAAAGGCAAGGGCATCGGAAGAGAGTGCTGGCCCCATAGGGAAGTCTGGAGGCCTCTACAACTGAACGCAGGTGACCCCCTCGCCTCAAAGCAGCATCATTAGACCTGGTGTGTATCCTACCCTCCACCAAGATTACCCGGGCAGGCTGGATGTCAGGTGCTTGTCCACTTCCCACGCCTCACGGGGCAGAGCAGCTTTGCCCAAACACAGGCGTAGCTCCCTGCAGCCACAGAGCCGACCCCACTAGAAACGGATAAATCTAACTTGCAAAAAACAGCACGCTGTAACTAGTCGGTGTTCCAACCTTTCTCGATCTATTAAAGGCTCCTGTATAACGAGAACCCAAGAGTCAGATTCATTAGCCCTCGAGAACCGAATGATACCACTGTCGTGCTGATGGAACTGTCATCTACTTTGGAAAGTCCATCACAGAGGGCACTGGGTGCCCACGATGCCCTGGGAAACCCAAGAGAACACGAGGATGGGTTGGTGCAGACAGTCACACCATCAGGATGGGCCCTCTGCTCCAAGAACCTGGAGGGGAGCATCCATGGGACGCAGCGGCCCGAAGGCCCCGGCTGGCAGCGGAGACATCCGTGCTCTGAGTGGGGGCGACAGCGGGCCGGAGGCAGTTGCCTGCGCTCAGATGGGCCAGTCAGGGCAGCATCGCCTACCTGAATGAGCCAGTAAGTGCATTCTCAGGCGCAAACTATCCAGGAACCGCTTCCCGCAGAGCTCACACCCGTACGTCTTCATGCCACTGTGCAGCTTCCTGTAGGGAGAGGAGAAGATAGTTTGGGGCTGCTCTGGCTGGCTGGAAGGCAAGCCCACCCGCACCTGGGGGCTCTACAGCCACCCCTCCGGCAGGTGAGCAGGAGGGAGGGAGAAGGCAGGCACGGCTGCTGCAGACGGGCACTGATGGAGACATCCCTATAGGCTCAGACAGCCTAGCGCGCCCCTCTTCCCATGGACCGCTGCCAAGGAAGAGTCTCCTGCTGGGCTTGTCCAAGAGCTAAAGAACAGGACACTTCCTACTGCGTTACCCACTGGCACAGAGACCAAGGGGAAAAAGCCAGAGCCAACTGCGGGGCCAGAAGGAGGCAGCACGGGATGGTCACTGGTGAGTTGGCACTGAGCATCCGTGGAGGCCACCAGGCCTCTGCTGACCTCGGTCACATCAGGCCTCACTGTGCTGCAGCCGTGCACGTGCCCAGCTCCCCCAAGACACCGCCAGAACCCCGCCAGACTCAGGAGGCCCGTGCCCGTCCCTTCCTGACTCGTGTCCCCAGCTCCCACTGCAGTGACTGGCACATAGTAGGTTCTGAACCACTTAGAAGGACTCGTTGGCTTTATGGACTCCTCCAGATGTTCTGAGGACTACGGTGAGTGTCCGACATGCATGCCCTTCCCCCGAGGCCCCGCCCCAGTCTTCCCTTGCTTTTTGGCGTGAGGTTGAGCCCCGACAGAGAGAAAGAGTGCAAGAAAACCAGGTAACATCATTCTACAAATGCCATGTGAGGCTTTCCAAGTGCTTTCGCACACCTAATCTGCAACTCTGTGAGCTGGGCTTGACACAGAGGATCACCCCAGGACGACAGAGGTCCCACTCACAAGCGGCCACAATCCCAGCCCCCAGCTGTGCCCTTATCCCAACTCTGACCCTTTCCCCCCAGACCCCCTGCTCTGGCAGCGGCCAGCGGTGCAGCTGGGTCCGATCAGGGAAGTGGGCAGGCTAGCGCAGAGCTGGGCGCTGGGAAGATGGTCTGTGCGCTGCAGGCTGCTGAGGCTCGGAGCTGTTGGCTGGCGTGTGGGCCATCTGGCCGGGAATGCTGACTTTCTTCCCACCCACACTCCTGTTCTCAGGCCCTGACTTGCCACTGCCGGATGCAGGATCCATCTCCACCCCCGTCTCTGCGCCCTGCCCCGAGGAACAGGGCAGGCAACGGCAGCCAGAGACAGGAGCTGATGACAGTACGGCATGGAGTAGAGCCTACAAGGCTCCCTTAGAGCACCAACCTATTGCGATCAGACGGTGATGGGCTGAGACCACAGTAGAAGTTTGGAGGGCAGCTGGTACGGATGCTGATAAAACCCTGAGTGCGGAGAGGAAGTACTCTACATTCAAGCCAGCAGCACCCAGATCTGAGCCTCGGAGCCCAGGCCACCACAACTACACCGGGCCACCCGCTGCCACCACCTTCCAAATCCCCCAATGAGAACCCAGTGGTAAGTCAGAACCATGCGGGCCCCCAGGTGAGCCTCCCGAGTGCCACAGTCTATGGGCCACAGTGGCTTGAAGACCGCATGCCGTGTCCACACGCCCAGGCCCCTTCACGGAACTCTTTCTCAATCATGCTGTTTTGTTTGCTCGCTTTTCCCTTACTTCCTTGCCAAAGGCAACAAATAATTTCTCAATCACACACACACACACACACACACTCACACTCACATACACACCCTCATCCCTGACACTGTAGGGGCACCCCACCCCCATATTATCTCACTCCAGGCCATGGCTGATCCAACCCAATTGACAAATAGTAACAGTACAGAACATTTTAACTGAACATTCTTAACTCCAAATATATTTCACAATGCTGGACACCGGGACATGTCCTGAGAACATTCTGGGCAATCCATGCTTTGAGACATGCGCCCAGGCAACTGAGTGTGTACGGGTGCATGTCCACACATGTAGACAGTCTTCCTGTCACTTACCCAGGCGTGGCAGATGTTTGCTTTTCTAAGAGATGTTCTGTGAAGTAGCAAAAGCTCCCCTCACAAAACGGTTCGACAGGGGAGCCTCTTGTATGCATTCGTGGTCAGGCGTGGTGGGTGGCAGTGATGGGTTTCCACCGCATTCACGTTCATCTTTTCTTCCCTAGTGATTTCTTAGCTTCCAGGGAAGCCCACCTCTTGGGGGGGAGGGGGGTGGCTGACAGGAGGACTAACAGCAGAAGGACACTGGGGTGACCAGTCTTCCAGCATCAGCAGCTACCACCAGGATAAGTATCCCCAACCACACCCTTGGACTTCCATCTCCTCGCCCCGAAGGTTCTAGACCAAATCTCTCCATCCAGACCCCAATGAACACTTTCTGGGTAACCATACTGCCTTTTTTCTGAATGTGAATGGATTTGCCTGGCAAATGGTGAAAGTGGCTTTCTTGGCCCACTGGATCAGCATGGTGTGAAAGGTCTTGCCCTTTACTACAGGGGTAACAGGGTATGGGGAACAATGCCAGGCGAGCAGCCAGAAGACCCAGATCCTCAGCCTGACTTGGCCATTAACTTGTTTTATGACCTTGGACAAATCATGCTATAACAATTTCTCTGCATTTTTTTCATGTATAAAGTGATGTGGGTGATTTCTAAGGTTCTGGTCCCTTACGGAACCTACGTTTTATCCCTTTACCTAGCTTCCAAGGAATTCCCCTATGGGGCACTATTATTCTCTCGGAGCCATGTTCCACTGTGATGTCCCGTGACGCCAAGGTAGTCAGGCGAAGACAGCCCAAGCAAAAACTGACACCCAAGCCCAGAAATCTACTCATTTTAAAACCTTCTAAGCCAGACGACCTGAGTTTCCTCCTTTACTCACTTGTGGTCTATCTTTCAGGGAAAGAAACTTCTGGAACCCATCAATAGCCTTTCTTTGGAACCACTCTGCTGCCACATATTTCCCAGCCTTCAAAGACACAGATGTCCTATCTTGTCTGATCGTTGGGGTGAGGACCCTGCCCTGTACCTGACCCACGAACTCAGTGCCCCGCACAGGTTGCAAAGGGGGTGTGTGGCATCCACATGATCCATACGCAGTACAAGGACAGAGGTCCTACCCCACTGGCAGAGAGACACAGGCGATGCTCACCAAGTTCAGAAGAGAAAAAGGGAGCACTTCACAAGCTCAGGAGTTGAGTAGCGCCCAGCACGGCTTGGCTCCTGTCCTCTGTTACCGGTAATTCAGAACACCAAGGGATGGATGTGGAAAGGTGGACGCTTCCAACTCGCAGGAAAAGGAAATGACGGAGAAGAATCTGAGTGCGTTCAAGAGACTTGGCTACGAGCAGACTCGCTACAGCACTGTCTGCAGAATGACCAGCGAGGACACAGACTTCCAACTGGTTTCCAAGCAAAAGTGTACATTTGTATGAACTCATGGTCTCTCTGTTCTGCAGACCACAGCCCCCCACTGCCGCTCCCACGATGTTATGCCACGGATTGTTTTTTAAAATGGAAATTCTAGGGGTGCCTGGGTGGCTCAGTCGTTAAGCGTCTGCCTTCGGCTCAGGTCACGATCCCAGGGTCCTGGGATCGAGTCCCGCATCGGGCTCCCTGCTCGGCGGGAAGCCTGCTTCTCCCTCTCCCACTCCCCCTGCTTGCGTTCCCTCTCTCGCTGTGTCTCTGTCAAATAAATAAAATCTTATAAATAATAAATAAATAAATATAAGTAAATAAAATGGAAATCCTGTCCACCTCCATCTTCCTCAGCACACGCGCCTAACTTCCCAGTCTGGTCTTGTCTGTCTGCGAGGTCCAGCTGCTCATGGCCATCTGAGGTCGCCCGGCTCCACAGGGCACAACTCCCTTGGTTTTCACACCCCCTTCTCTGAGAAGCAGCAACGTTGCTGGACAGCGTCTTGAAAGTAACCCAGTTCCGGCATGGCCCGGGCACCCCCATTCTAGGCTTGCTGGAGGTCCCATCAGGTCCCCGCTACACGCTCCTGGGAAGTGGGCTCAGGTTCCCTGCACCCCCCACCACCCCCCCAGCAGTACCGCTGTCCCACAGGCCCCCACTGGCCCACTGGCTAAACCCACCATGAACGGAACAGATTTTCAATTATGTCCAAAAAGACAAAGAAAAAATTAACCTTTAGCAGGTTTCTAGCTATTTTCTCAAGGGAGCTGAATCACTATGAGAAATTAGAACTAAGCAAATCTGAACCTTTTAACAAGTAACTTGAGAGAAAGACGCGTTCCTTCTCACTGAATCCCAACCACACAACCCTCGCTAGTCCAACTGAGCTAGCAAGATGCATCAAGCCATCTCCGTGCTGCTGGAAGGCTGACAAAGCACGGATTTTGTCTGCTCTGGACTATACACTGTATCATGGCAGAAGTCATGTTGATGTCTCTTTTCTTCGTAGGGCCTAGTTTTAGAAGGGATTGCTCGATGCTGCTGAAGAAATTCCTCCACCTAACGTGGGGTTGAGGCATCCCTCTGCTCATCTTTAACGGTATTCCAAGCACAAGAGCTTCATGGGCACCTCCAACCCGGGGCTGGACTCTGTCCTGTGGGTCCTTAAGTCCTCATGAGGAAGGCCAATGCCTCTCTCATTGCCACAGAAACCCTGAGCTTCAGCCCAACCGCTCATTCTCAAGATGGGCCTTCTTCTTCCCAGCCTGCCTAGACCACAACAGCAGAAAGAGTAGAAGCCAGGAGAGACTCATGCCATACTCCATCCTCCTCACCCTCAGCCTCCAGGCACAGCCGACCACAACAGGGCTCCCTAAGAGCACCTTCTGTATCTACTGTCTGCAGGAAAAGCTCAGCCCGTCTCCATCCCACAGAGCTGAGGGCCAAGGGGAGATGCTGGGAGACCCGGCAACAAGGCCTGCCTGAGAGAGGGGTTCCAGGCCCCAGATTGCCAATGTTCCATTTCTTCCCAAGTTCCTCTCGCCAGAGACAAGAGCAATCAAAGTAGACCAATGGGCAAGGAAGATTTAGAGACAGAATTCGGTTCCAATAACCCAAGGGCTACACTCTCTCCTTCCCTCCCTCTCCTCCTGGGGATCTGAAAGCGCCTGACCTGTGAGTTTTGCTGGGCAGACCAGCACTGAGAACTAGGGTCTGTCAATGGGGCAAGTGAGTGGGACAGAACTACCCATCTTTGAAAAATAAAGAGGGGGCTCCATCCTATTAAGGGTTTTTATAAGGTAAAGTTTTCCTTGTTTTCAGCTTAACTGATCCCATGCCCTGAACCAATACCGGCTCTGGCCAGTGAGGCCCTCACAGTCCCTCCAACTCACCCTCTCCTCAGTCTGAGCCGTCCCACATGCAGAAGCTACCCTAACACCAGGGCCTTCTGCTTTCTCATCCCATGACCATCAGCTTGACCTACCCAGGGCTTCTGAGGGGTACTCAGAATAGGCAAGGATGAAACAGGACATTCTGAGAGTCAAACCAAGGTCTAAATGACCCTCTTCTCTCAAAAGTCTGCTGCCAACATGGGAATCAATGTTCTCCAAGATCCTCTTCTAACCATGGGAACCCAGCCACTATCTCACCTCCCCTCGCCCCTTCCTCTCTTGAGCAGGACCTGGCATGCTGCCGCGTGTCCCCACGTGGACATGGTAGGAAGCAGGTCCCTTCACAGAGCTGCCCCGTGGTCAGAGAACCTCACCCTGGCCTTGCTCACAGCTCCAAGAAGAAACAGAACCAAGAGAGGAAAGCGCTTACATATTTCAGCAGCAGGCTTACTCTTTTCTCCAAGAACTTTACATTCAAAACATATCTTCAATGTCCATTGCCCTTTAATTCAAACGGCAAGAGGAAGGCCCAATAGCCAATGCATTCTGGGCTCCACTTTTAAGAAGGGATGAATGAAAAGTTATCAAGCTATCAAGAATTTACACCCAAAAGCAACTCCCAGGGGGGATTTCAAAGTGTTCCCAAATTCAGTCCAATCTTCTGTACTTTCTACACATGCCTTTTTGTGAGAAAGGGTTACTCCGAACAGAACCTGTTCTACTAGAGACCTCCACCCTAAACCAGGACATCTGGGATACTCAGGGAAGGTTCCCTACCCTCTAAGGGTGACATTATCTCGTCCCAAGGAATGTCTCTTAATGTCACCAGCAGGGACAGATTCCAGGCCGAGTGGGTCATTAGTCACACCCAGTATCATTTTCCTTAGGTACTGTCTTGGAATATCAAGGCCAGGACTTAGGACTAAGCCATTTTTAAGTTTTTCAAAGCTATAAGCTCCTTGAGGACATAGAGTTTCTGCCTCCAAACCCTCAGCACCGATGCAGACACCTAGAGTTGGCATGTGAGCAGCTACTGCTAAGAAAGCAGTCGCCAACCATCCCAAGACAGAGGGATACCTGACCACTGAAATCCAGGCCCGGGACTGCCCAGCTTCGGTGAGGAGAAGCCCAGAACCCTCGGGGCGGAAAAGAAAGAATAGTCCTAATCTTGGTTAGGGAGGGGGTCACTTTCATTTTCCCAAGGCATAAGGGAAATTATCCTTTTACCCACTTTTTTTTTTAATGTTGAGATTAGACAGTCATTGGACAAGCTGTGAATGCTTAGCTGGTATTACCACAAATTATCCTTGTAGCAATAGAGTTCCTTGCTCCCTGACTAGTCAATATTAATAAACATTACCGAATGCTTTTACAACACAATTTATTTTTTAATACAGCTCTTTATGTATGCCGTAAAGTAAATATACCAATAAAAGGCAAGGATTTCAAACAACAGATTAAAAAACACAAGCCAGAACTAACAGAGTGCTGGTTAACGCCTTCCATGCTGCACCACGGGGGTGGCAGGACGCACGGCTCGTGCCCCTCTCCTGGGAAGCCAGGCCAGCGGAGCTCTGGAAAACTGGGGCCATTCGGTTGCTTTGGAGCCTTTTAAAGGGAGGGGTAGAGAACAGCAGAGAAGGCATGTCTCCTCAAGAATCGAGAATAAAGGTGTAACACACTGGCTGAGATCCTGTTCTAGGGGCAGGACTCCCAGGGTTCTCTCCAGCTCTGCCGGTAACCATCAGATGACCTTGGTCAAACCACTTACCCTCTGGAGATTGCACTTTACGCCCTCTGCAGCAACGCAAGGGTTGAGTAGATGATTTCTTAGGTCCTTTCCAATCAGGTTTACGACACTGGAAGGTTGTGGGGCTGACAGGGGCCTATGCTCACCAGATTATAAGCTCCTTCCTGAAGGATCCATCCCAGATTCAGCCCCTCAGCCTCCATCGTCGAGCAGAGCCCAGAACATAGGAGGGACTCAGTGCATTTTTGTTGAATGAATGAACAAACATGGGAGGGAATTAAAAAAGAAAAACATAGAGGTAAAAAAACAAAAACACTTCCAACACACACACATATGCACACAAACATCTATCAGTCCAAGAACAGTCGTCCCTATTGTCCAAAAGAGAAGGCCTCCACGGGGCTCTTAGAAGAAGACCGTGTATCCTGTGTTGGCCTGGGATCAAGGCCAACCTGGAGCTGACTGAGTGGAAGAAGCTGTCCCCAACCTTGAAAATACGGGGCAGGACAATAGGACTTCCCAAGGCCATAACCACACCAAGTACAGTGCTTTCCGATAAGGCTGTCCGCGTGAGTGTTAAAATACCATGTCAGAAATGACAAAGGGGCACGCTAATCTCCCTGCAGCGACTACCATGAGAAGGGTCTTCATGGCCGCTGAGCACCAGGAGGCCCGGGCTTTGGGCCGTTACGTAACAGGTCCTTTGTTTTAAAATACTGAGTTCCCGTAAGTCATTTATTTGAAATATCTCTATCAACAAATTTCACCAAGAACAAAAGTTTTTCATTTGTGCACCGGGCTATAGGATGATCTTATCACACACAATCTCATACAGTCTCTTTCAACAAGGTCTTAGTGTGCTTATCTGCGAAGTTCCTGGTAGCCAAATATGATTGAAATGTTCTATTTATGCTCACTGGATTAAGGAGATGTTGCAAAACTGCACAAAAAACCTGGCAGATGTAAGCAAGGTATTACAGCCTGGGCAGTTAAGATCTGAGGGAAAGGGATCAATATACACATTTGTAGGTTTCTTTCTTTTTCTTTCTTTCTCTTTTTTTTTAAGAAACCAGAAAAGTTGTGCTTTTTGAAAAGGGAAGAGGAAAAACAGTAAAATGCCTTAAGATTTATGGCTTCTTAGAGCTTTTTCCAAACCCAAAACAGGGCACCATGATGCATGCTTCGTGACGTCAGCCCAAGGAAAACAAAAATAAATCCAAAATATTCTCTGCAGATCCTAAAAGGCCCTATAAGGGAACTGAACTATGGTTATGGATGAGCAGGGTTTTTGCTTTTTCTCTCTCACACCCATAAGAGGCTTCCAATTTCTGGGAAAACTGTTTTCAAAAAGCTCCAGATTCCTCCTTTATCTTCCTGCGTTGCCTGGGCGTGAGGAGGCAGCCTTGTTTCCTGGTAATCTGGGCTCATTTTTACATGCTCTCACTTCAGCCATGAAGCCGAAATGCTACCTTCAAATCCCACTGCCCAGCCATGGGTCCTCGGAGACTGTGGGAAATACCCGAGGTTTATCAAGGGCCTAAGAAAGTTCCTTTCGAATTAAAGCCCTCTGAAAACCTCCTTAATGGATATTGCCTCATTCTTTCTGCTTTAGTACACTGAAAATTAAATCACTTCTCTATGAGGATTCTGAGCTGTGAGAGCCATCATGCCCAACATCAG